GATTCAGATCTGGACTCATTGCTGGACAGTCCAGTACTCTCCAGTGCTTTGTCTGAAACCATTTCTGGGTGCTTGTTTTTCTGGAAAAAAAGCTGTTAATTTTGTGTCATACCAATACAAACAAAATAAATAAACATGAGAATGCTGAAACATTTGTAATTGCGACAATTTTGTCCACAAAGTGGTGCATTATCTGACAGAAATGCAGGGGTGCCAATATTTTTGGCCATGACTGTATATGAGTTTGTTGGAGATCCCCTTAATGTGGAGTTGGCACCCTGTCCACAGTTATAACAGCCACCACTGCTCTGTGAAAGCGTTCTACAATTTTTTGGAGTGTGACTGTGGGAATTCGTGCCAATTCAAGCATAACAACAATTTTGAGGTTGGGTACTGATGATGGACGAGAAGACCTGGCTTGTAGTTGGTATTCCAATTTAACCCAAAAGTGTTCATAAGGGTTTGAGGTCAGGGCTCTATGTAGGCCACTCAAGTTCCTCCACACCAAACTCCTCGAACAATGTCTTCATGGATGATGGTAGAGAAAAAAGGCCTTCCCCAAACTGGAACCACAGGGTTGGAAGCACACAGTTGTCTAGAATGTAGCATTACCAGAACTAGGGTCGCACCGATACTAGTTTCGGTGCCGAAACGGAGTATTTGGGCGAGTTCTCCTACTTGCCCAAATGCTCCGATAACTTCCCCGATACCAGAACTTCCGTTCAGAGTCAGTGCCGTAGGGGAAAATGGAGCCAGCTTCCCATGCGATTAGGAAGCTGGGCGGCGAGTAATGACCCGCCTCCCTGCTTGCTGATTGTCCGGGAAGTTGGCTTCCTGGCCAATCAGCATGGAGCCGGCTTCCTGGACAATCAGGATGGTGGGAGGTGGATCATTACGCGCCGCCCGGCTTCCTGATTGGCCGGGAAGCCATCTTGATGCTGATTGGCTGGGAAGGGAAGCCGGTTTCCTGGCCAAGCACAATCAAGCCGGCCAGACAACATGGAGCCAGCTTCTCAGGCAATCGGATTGCCCAGGAAGCCGGCTCCATGCCAGCGGAAGCACCGGTATTGACGAGTACCGAAAGCAAAGTATCCATACTAGTACTCGCTGCATCCCTAAACAGAACCCTTTACTAGAAACACCTGAACTCCGTCATTTGGAGGTAGGTGCGATGGTCATCGATGGGGCCCACAAACCTTTGCCCATATAGTGTATGTGCAGATACTTTGTAAGTCCTGAATCGCTTAACTGCTGTTCGATAATTCGGATTTCCTTGAGGCAACTTCCTTAACAAAGATCCCCAGACGGTCAGATACGTAGATCTGAACCCGGTGATCGGTGGTGGGGACAGAGCTAGGAGCTCTGTTGGTCCGGTCTCACCTGATGCCCCATCAGATATAAGATTACAGTGGTTGGTTCATCTAACTTTTGTCCATCCATAACTAAGATATACGTTCTGGATGGGATGCCCCTCTAATTGCCTCAGATGCATGACGTGACTGTCCTGGTTTCTCTGAGTTGTGTTGGTTTATGCCGTGTCTGTGTTTATGCCATTTTGCTTACCTTGTCTGTTCTCCACACGTTCTTGTTTTACGGAGTGGAGGTGTTGGCTTGTTAGCTCCTGTCTGCTGCTCCTGCTTGCAGTGAAATTAACAGCTGTCACTCTGCATGTCGTTTGTCACTTGCTGAGATAAGGGAGCAGCGTGTTTGGAGTTGATGGAATGACTGCACCTGTTTTTGGTGTTTGAAGCTTGTTACATCTAAGTGCTGTCAGCCGAGTATAAGAGTCCAATCTGTCGGGAAAGCTGGACCCTGGTGACAAAGTGAAGCTAAAGCCGAGCGAGGCACAGAAGAGACTTTCTGCTAATAAATATGATGGCAAGAATGGTACGGGCTGATCTTATTCTTGTAACAGTGTATGACCGAATCGCATTCACTGTAAGGTAAACCTATGATTACTCATGTACGGCAAAGCAACAGGATCACTTTTGTCAGCTATGTGTCACAGGGGTTATATGCAGGTTGGAGGTTTCATTGTCAAAATACATTTTTAGCTTGAAAGTTCACTGTTCATTTGTTCCATACTCTAATTGTCAGATACAATTCCTGTATTAAAACGATTATAATATTTAAAAAAAAATGTTTGTGCATATGCCAGCCTATAACTATAATAATAATAACATTTACTATTGTTGTTGTTGTTGTTATTATTATCAGATCAGGATCTTATTAAAACCACGTACCACATAAAAGCCCTATATGTACTTACAAACTTTAACATTATTTAGGTAGGCAAATTAGCTATAGGGCTTTATTCAAGTTGCTTGACGCTGCTGAATTTCACTTGTGTGTCTAAGCATCAGTGACCTCTGGTCATGAAACGGTTACGTCCTATAGTATTAAATAGAAGGAAACATATTTGCACTGCAGTATGTTCATATTTCCTGTGTTTCATCCCTGTAATAATGCCGCAAGTAAGAAACATAATTATTAATCTGCCAAAATTCTCTTTCTTGCATATTCAACTGAGCCTTGTAGCTTGTTGATATACATTTATAGGAACTGCCTTACTTCCCAAAGATTTTTTTTTTCCAGCCCTCTGCTACACAGACTATTCTTCCTTCAGTCTGTTGTTGCTGCCAGGCTCATCCACTTACCAATGGCACAGTGAATGCCACCCCTATCTGCCAATCCCTCCACTGGCTTCCATCCTCTACCCCTCTCTGCCAATCCCTCCACTGGCTTCCATCCTCTACCCCTCTCTGCCAATCCCTCCACTGGCTTCCCTCTTCTACCCCTCCATCCTCTACCCCTCTCTGCCAATACCTCCACTGGCTTCCATCCTCTACCCCTCTCTGCCAATACCTCCACTGGCTTCCATTCTCTACCCCTACCGAGTTGCGGTGTATAAGCAGAGAGGAGAGTGGTGGTGTTTGGACAGAGAGGACAGTTCCGGTGTTTGGGCAGAGAGGAGAGTGGTGGTGTTTGGGTAGAGAGGAGAGTGGTGGTGTTTGGGCAGAGAGGAGAGTGGTGGTGTTTGGGCAGAGAGGAGGGTTCTGGTGTTTGGTCAGAAAAGAGAGTTCTGGTGTTTGGTCAGAAAACAGAGTTCTGGTGTTTGGTCAGAAAAGAGAGTTCCGGTGTGTGGCCACTGGCCAGAGAGGAGAGTTCCAGTATGTGGGGGAAGAGGAGATCTGACTGCCTGAGGCCTTGATAAATACAAAGTGGAACAAACGAACACTTGCTACCAGGCTATTGGGCTTGCAAGCACACTTTTCTCTCCTTGCTTCTACCAGCACACCTTCTTTGCTCGTTGCTGTTCATCACTTCAAATATACAAATCAAGTCTTTGACGCGTTTCGCCCTACAGCGCTTAGTCATTTAGCCTTAAGGCAAATTAAGTTTTTTTTTTTTTTTTTTTTTTTTCTTCTTTTTTTGCTGCTGTAGGGTGCTAGAATATAGTCTCCAGTTGGTCTACTCCAGTCCATGAACTCAGTGAGTGTTTGCTTGAGAAATATAAGATGACAGGGATTCAAGTCAGTAGCATCCAACCATTACTGAAATAACAGTTTTGATTGGACTCAACATATTAGAAGAATCAGTCCGGACCAGAATATGGAAGCTGCCATATATATTTATTCTGAACAGGAGTTAATGAGATTTTAAAGAGAACCTGTCGCCAGACAATTCATTTCAACAAGAATCTTCCCATTAGATTAGAAGAGTGTGTAGTCTATTTTTTGCCTGTTATTTTATTTGTAAATTCCTTCCTCGTGTGGACATCCAGAACCCTAAGACTGCAGCTGGGTGCATCTTGGATGTGATGTCAGCTACCCCTGTCACACAAATGACAATAAATGGTATTCCTCTTTGCTCTTTCCCCGACAGCTACATATGGAGGGAGGTAAGGAGAGGGGTGGAGGAGCTGGGCCGGCACAGTGAGTATTTAGACACTCCTAGAAGAGGAGAGGGCTATGACATGACCGTAGGTAGAGTGTGCTAGGAAATTGATTCACCCAGAGCAGTCAACTTTTCTTGCAATTTATGGAAAGGGAAAACACTGCAAACAAGCATGTAAAGTACTCTATTTGTCAATGCTTTTACCTGCAATTTTTTAAGTTGGTGGCAGGGTCTCTTTAAAGCCCAAGCCCTGACCTCTGTACCTACAGATGCTGTGGAGGAGCATAGGAGTTGTTCTATCAGTAGCTCAACTCCCCGTCTTATAGCTCCCGCTGTGTACAGTTCAAGAATTGTCACAACTGTTGCCTGCTTTTGTTGTGTAAGTGTTGCTCTGGGCCTTTCCGTTGCACTTGCTAAAAAAGAGTGCTGGTGTAACACAACCGTTGCAGTCTTTGCACCCTTTTAGACATGCTGCACCTTTAAAAGTATCTTACTAAAGCTGGAACTCTCAGTGAAGGACATTGCTGGGGATGCCGGTAATCTGACCTCAAGCTCTGTGCAGGAAGGCAGGCGGATGGTTAACAGCCGGGGAATGGGAATTCTGGGAAATTCTTCTAAACAAACTGAGAAGACTTGTCATGGCTGCACGGTAGGCCAGTGGAGGTAATCAGTTACTTTGCCCTACGGGGGAAGAGACAGGTTCTCTTGGTTCTCCTACCCACTCTTGCATCTTCGTGGCGGTGCTCAGACAAGGTTAATGACCTGCTCCCCTTCCCTATGTGACAAGATTAGGACTGGTGATTGGATGCTCAGCCCTAAGCATTGAATCATGGAAAGAGGGGGAGAAGGTTGGATGCTCTTCCATACCTCGGAACCTTACCCTTTAAACACCGCAACGGGGGCAGCAGGCAGGTCCAACGTGTATCATTGGCTTGGGGTCAGGCTTTTAAGAGAAGCCGAGGGCAAGGTGACAGGTTCTCTTTACATTATACAATGATTTACATACAAGCTATATATGCAATTTGTTTTCCTGTGTAAGGTGCTCGTTGTGCAGCGAGCGGTAATAATATTAACGTCTAAACCATTCATTGTTTGTCTTGCAGCTCACCAAGGCGCACCGACAAGGTCACATGGTAAAAGTGGACTGGCTCGACAGATTGACTTTCCGCGAGATTGAAATGATCAATGAGGTTAGTGCGCAGACAGCTCCGTCTTCTCTCCTCGCCGCTTCTGACATCTCATCAGTTACATCCATCAATGGGGAAGCTGTTCTGTTGTTGGTGTCATTTTGGTTTTTTTTTTGCAATAAAGTTTTATTAACTTTTTATTCATCCAATAAGAGGACACGTCTAAAGAAGAACTTTGGCAAAATGTTTATTAACCCTAAACATGCTCACCGGTCTGTCTCTCCTGTACCCACTGACACCAGTGATGCTGGTTTCGGGTCCGCTGGAGGGGAAGCAAGCCTGGGGTGTCGGGAAGGGGGGGCACTCTTCACTGGCCTCTGGAAGTGATCTGGTGGCAGCTCAGCCAGCAGAATCGGTTCCAGTATAAAGATGTCCATCGGCTGTACACAGCAGAGCCCCGGCTAGGAGTCTGTTTACAAGGGCCCGCTGCCAGCGACGTATGGCAGCAAAAGAATAGAAGTCCAATCCATGTGACAACAGCGGCCGCCTCCATAGCTACAGGAGAAAAGAGTGTAGACACAAAGGCACAGGAAGTGTGTAATTTGCAGGATCGCCAATAAAGGGAAGAAAGCTTGAGAAAAGAAAACGAATGCAGCCGCCACATCTAAGGACCGGTAAGCTGCAATACATGTAGATAATTGTTTTTGGGTTTATGCTTTAAAGGGTTATTAAACCCTCAGCTTTTTTGCATATATCTACTGCTAGCAAGCAGTAGATATATGCAAAAACATTTTTTTTAAAAAAGGGGGTTCAAAGGGTTAAAATTTACCTGTGTCTTCGCCGTGGGCTCCCGTCCGAACATCTGAAGAATCTCAGGCAGCCGCAAGGGATCTTGGGGCGGACGCATGCGCAGTTCAGATCTTCGGCCGGGAGACGAGGAGAGACACAAGGTAAGTCTATGGAGCAGCGTGCACCCGCATGCAGACACCGTGGGACAGGAAGTGCCAGCTAGCACAGAGGAGTCAGCGCTGAATCGGAGAACGGCACCAGCGCTGGAGAGACCGCTAAAAACGACAGTAAAGAAGATGATGATCGGATCAAGAGGAATTATTTAAGGTAAGTCCTTACACTAATATTGGGGAGGGGGATTATACTTTAATGTCACTTTAAAGAAGCAAATCTTGTCATCCGGCTGCAGAATCGGTACCTCTGAAGGGGTTAAATGAGTTAGAAACACCGGAGGAGACTTGAGAGTCCTCTGCATTAACTTTGGAGAGACCTTGTCTGACGTGACCGGCTCTCTTAGCGGACATATTCCTCACGCGTTGAAAGAAAGCTGCTCAGACCGGCTCTCGTGTTAATTAAACCTCCTTTATTGTGCATCTTTTATTAGGAGAGAAATGTAAGAGCTTTCTTATAAAATCTTTATTGTAGCTCTTTGATAATGAGCCGCACCGCACGAAATGTCACAGACTACATTTAGGGTACAATGTGAAAGTCTTTCTAAAGTTACACTCTTTCCAGGGGGCTGAAGGATGAAGCTGCTGTCGGGCCATTTAAATGGAAACCAGAAGGTATTTTTAGCCATGGTTCATTTTAAATGGGAACTCCGGCCTTCCCTTCAGTCTGGCACAGTTGTACCGGCTCCTCCCCTGAACTGAATTGGCTTCCTCTGATTTAATTGCTCACAGTGGGCTTCTCACAGCTGCGGCAAGTCAGATAGAGCCCGCCTCCTTTCCTGGCTGGAGGACATCCAGTATCATGGGTGGGCAACTCTAGAATGGCGCCTAGTACACGGGTGGGCAACTCTGGTCCTCCCATCATGCCTCTGCCTTTGAGAGTCATGCCTGTGGCTGTCAAAGTCATGGGACTTGAAGTTCCACAACAGCTAAATGGTCCGAGTTGACCACCCCTGATCTAACCGTTTCCTCTCTGAAATAAGTGTCCCCGCCTCTTTCGTTAATTGGATTTCATCTTTTTCAATCATGATGGCTCAGCAGCACATGTGGGTGTAAACTAGGGTGGTCTGCATGCAAATACAGTCTATCTAGCCATGCCACTCCTCAAGACCACCATCCAGCTATAGAACATTTTAATATTTGCATAACTCTACATGCTGCCTAGTAACGCCCACTCCTACAGACTGATACCCACCCTTCAGCATTTTGATATTTGAATAACTCCTCCCAAGAGCCAGCCCACTGCATGCATCAGGGCTGAGGGCTGTTGAGAGGAGGCCAAAAGGTTTAATCGGCTAGATCATTGACCGCAAATGCAGAAGCAGCACAGTTTAATTAGGAGCACACCGCCAGACTCTGATTGGACAGTGAAGAAGCAGAAGAACACGGATGAAGTATCACTGCTCATCCTGTCGTCTTTTCCTAGCAGCTTGTCCACTATCAGCATATCTTCGCTGCCGCAGGGCTGGAATGGCTCCTAGTACTGCAGTTTGAGCAATGTAGCTGCTTCACCATGACTAGAAGATGTCATTACAGAGCAGTATAGAGTCATATAGGTTTGTTTTCACATTCTGTACAGTATATGTATATATATTCTTTTTTTTTGGCAGAGTGAAAAGCGTAGTTCCAACTTTATGTACCTGATGGTGGAATTTCCATGCGTGAAGAGCGATGACAAGGAGTATGGGATCGTGTACTATGAGAAGGTACTTTCGTTTAATTTTTTTATCCTGCACAACGTTGAGCTAAGCTGAGTACCATGAATGTGCAAAGTGCTGATATCTGCAGCCATTCGAATATTTAAAGTGGAATTCCAGGCGAACACATGCACAGTTTTAATATACACTGCCTGGCCAAAAAAAAAGTCACCAAGTCACTACCTGGATTTCGGGCAGTGTTATGATATGGGGTGGCTTCACTTGGTCAGGTCTAGGTTCAGCAATGTCAGGGTCATCTGGCTACCTGAATATACTGAATGGCCAAGTTGGACCAGGAGCTGTAGGCGTTTCCTTTAACCAAAATCAAACCTCAACTCCTCTGAGCTCATGATATTTCCTCCCGCCCGTGCACCTTCCCCCAACTTTTTCCTTGAGATTTATAACACAACTATCCAACCCTCCCCCCATGCCAAGGTGCTAGGTGTCATCCTTGACTCGGACCTCACCTTTCTTCCCCACATCCAATCACTATCCAAATCCTGCCGTCTTCACCATCGCAACATCTCCAAAATACACCCCCTCCTCACCAATGACACCGCAAAACTACTCATCCACTCCCTTGTTATCTCTCGTCATGACTATTGCAACTCACTCCTCATTGGTTGACCTCTACACAGGCTCCTCCCCCTTCAGTCTATCATGAATGCTGCTGCTAGACTCATCCACCTAACCAACCGCTCAGTGTCTGCATCCCCCCTCTGTCAATCCCTGCACTGGCTTCCTATAGCCCAAAGGATAAAATTCAAAATATTAACAATCAGTTACAAAGCCGTCCACCACTCTGCCCCCGGATATATCTCAAACCTTGTCTCAAAGTATCACCCTAACCGTCCCCTCCACTCTTCCAAAGACCTCCTGCTCCCTTATCAACTCCTCCCATGCTCGCCTCCAGGACTTCTAGAGTCTCAAACATCCTCTGGAACTCTTTACCCCAACCTGTCCGACTATCTCCCACTCTGACTGCCTTTAGGCGTTCCCTAAAGACTCATCTCTTCAGGGAATCCTATCCCACCTCAACCTAACCACTGAACAATAACTTTCTCAAACAATCATCCCCGCGCAGCTCCCTCCTCATGTATCACTTGCCCCTCCCTTTTAGATTGTAAGCCCTCAGGGGCAGGGCCCTCCTTACCATCTTGTCTTGAATTGTATTGTGATTGTAATGTCTTCTTTATATTGTAAAGTTCTGCGCTTTATAAATCATGTATAATAATAATAATAATAGAAGCTAGCCTCACCCTTCATCATTGAACTGCCAAATGGCACAGACCGCACTAGTCACATACACTGCCTGGCCAAAAGTCACCATATGGATTTAGCTAAGGAAATGGGTAAGAGCCTTCAGTTGGAAAATAGGTCTAGGTTCAGCAACCTTATGTACCCCCAAAAATGTTTATCTGAATATACGGAATGGCCAGATTTTTCCATCAATGGATATGTTTTCCTCCCTGATGGCACATTGCACATATTCCAAGATGTCAATACCAGTATTCACCAGGCTCAGATTGTAAAAAAGTGGTTCAGGGAGCATGAGACATCATTGTCACATGTGGATTGGCCACCACAGAGTCCAGACCTTAACCCCATTGACAATCTTTGGGATGTGCTGGGATGTGCTGGGTCTGTTCAATGGGCAGACTGGAACCAGAGAGGTGACATAATGCAGAGTCTCTATTCAATGGGCAGATTGGAACCAGAGAGGTGACATGATGCAGAGTCTCTATTCAATGGGCAGACTGGAACCAGAGAGGTGACATAATGCAGAGTCTCTATTCAATGGGCAGATTGGAACCAGAGAGGTGACATGATGCAGAGTCTCTATTCAATGGGCAGACTGGAACCAGAGAGGTGACATAATGCAGAGTCTCTATTCAATGGGCAGATTGGAACCAGAGAGGTGACATGATGCAGAGTCTCTATTCAATGGGCAGACTGGAACCAGAGAGGTGACATAATGCAGAGTCTCTATTCAATGGGCAGATTGGAACCAGAGAGGTGACATGATGCAGAGTCTCTATTCAATGGGCAGACTGGAACCAGAGAGGTGACATAATGCAGAGTCTCTATTCAATGGGCAGATTGGAACCAGAGAGGTGACATGATGCAGAGTCTCTATTCAATGGGCAGACTGGAACCAGAGAGGTGACATAATGCAGAGTCTCTATTCAATGGGCAGATTGGAACCAGAGAGGTGACATGATGCAGAGTCTCTATTCAATGGGCAGACTGGAACCAGAGAGGTGACATAATGCAGAGTCTCTATTCAATGGGCAGATTGGAACCAGAGAGGTGACATGATGCAGAGTCTCTATTCAATGGGCAGACTGGAACCAGAGAGGTGACATAATGCAGAGTCTCTATTCAATGGGCAGATTGGAACCAGAGAGGTGACATGATGCAGAGTCTCTATTCAATGGGCAGACTGGAACCAGAGAGGTGACATAATGCAGAGTCTCTATTCAATGGGCAGATTGGAACCAGAGAGGTGACATGATGCAGAGTCTCTATTCAATGGGCAGACTGGAACCAGAGAGGTGACATAATGCAGAGTCTCTATTCAATGGGCAGATTGGAACCAGAGAGGTGACATGATGCAGAGTCTCTATTCAATGGGCAGACTGGAACCAGAGAGGTGACATAATGCAGAGTCTCTATTCAATGGGCAGATTGGAACCAGAGAGGTGACATGATGCAGAGTCTCTATTCAATGGGCAGACTGGAACCAGAGAGGTGACATAATGCAGAGTCTCTATTCAATGGGCAGATTGGAACCAGAGAGGTGACATGATGCAGAGTCTCTATTCAATGGGCAGACTGGAACCAGAGAGGTGACATAATGCAGAGTCTCTATTCAATGGGCAGATTGGAACCAGAGAGGTGACATGATGCAGAGTCTCTATTCAATGGGCAGACTGGAACCAGAGAGGTGACATAATGCAGAGTCTCTATTCAATGGGCAGATTGGAACCAGAGAGGTGACATGATGCAGAGTCTCTATTCAATGGGCAGACTGGAACCAGAGAGGTGACATAATGCAGAGTCTCTATTCAATGGGCAGATTGGAACCAGAGAGGTGACATGATGCAGAGTCTCTATTCAATGGGCAGACTGGAACCAGAGAGGTGACATAATGCAGAGTCTCTATTCAATGGGCAGATTGGAACCAGAGAGGTGACATGATGCAGAGTCTCTATTCAATGGGCAGACTGGAACCAGAGAGGTGACATAATGCAGAGTCTCTATTCAATGGGCAGATTGGAACCAGAGAGGTGACATGATGCAGAGTCTCTATTCAATGGGCAGACTGGAACCAGAGAGGTGACATAATGCAGAGTCTCTATTCAATGGGCAGATTGGAACCAGAGAGGTGACATGATGCAGAGTCTCTATTCAATGGGCAGACTGGAACCAGAGAGGTGACATAATGCAGAGTCTCTATTCAATGGGCAGATTGGAACCAGAGAGGTGACATGATGCAGAGTCTCTATTCAATGGGCAGACTGGAACCAGAGAGGTGACATGATGCAGAGTGTCTATTCAATGGGCAGATTGGAACCAGAGAGGTGTCATGATGCAGAGTTTCTATTCAATGGGCAGACTGGAACCAGAGAGGTGGCATAATGCAGAGTGTCTGTTCAATGGGCAGACTGGAACCAGAGAGGTGACATGATGCAGAGTCTCTATTCAATGGGCAGACTGGAACCAGAGAGGTGACATGATGCAGAGTCTCTATTCAATGGGCAGACTGGAACCAGAGAGGTGACATGATGCAGAGTCTCTATTCAATGGGCTGACTGGAACCAGAGAGGTGACAGGAACCTAAATCACTAGAGAGAGTTCATTGTTACTCGTACTCGCCCAAATGCCCCGATATGTCAGCTTCCGGTATCGGAAAGCCAGGCAGCGAGTCATTGCACGCTGCCCGGTTTCCTGGTTGGCGCCCGGCTTCCTGATTGGCCAGAAAGCCGGCTCCATGCTTCCATGTCACTTAGTGACACGCCGCCTGGCTACCTTAATGGGACTTCCGGTATCGGTATTCGGTATCGGCAAGTACCAGAAAAACATATGGGTACTCGTACTCGATACCGAAAACCCGTATCGGTGCATCCCTAATCTTTACTAATTGCAGCCCGTCCTCTGAGCTAATATTCACTTGTTCCCTTCAGATGAAGTTTGGCTGAGTGGAGGTTTTCATCACTTTGGCCTCCTCTGTTAATCTCGAGTTGTCTGAATTTGAGGAAGTGCTGAAAGCCGGGAGTACAATATATTACCGGCTGCTGGCAGGAGCGGCTCTCGTCTCATTTCACATTGTCACAGCAGACATCAATGTATTCTCCCGGCTCCCCGGGGACGCTGGGAAGTGATGGCTTTTACATGTGTATGTGACTGCAATCGTTTTGCTCACCTTCCAGAACCCGGCACAGAAATGACGGGAAGTTTTTTATTTTACAGATGACTATTATTTCCAGAATGTTGCTGTGCAGAGTCTGATGTATTATAAAGTAAAAGTGTCAGAGTCCTGGGAGGTTCAAATTAAAGCAGAACTCCGGCCTTCCCTGCAGTCTTCTATCTGACCTCCGTCCTTCCCTTCAGTCTTATATCTGACCTCCGGCCTTCCCTTCAGTCTTCTATCTGACCTCCGTCCTTCCCTTCAGTCTTATATCTGACCTCCGTCCTTCCCTTCAGTCTTATATCTGACCTCCGTCCTTCCCTTCAGTCTTCTATCTGACCTCCGTCCTTCCCTTCAGTCTTATATCTGACCTCCGTCCTTCCCTTCAGTCTTATATCTAACCTCCGTCTTTCCCTTCAGTCTTATATCTGACCTCCGTCCTTCCCTTCAGACTTGCACAGTTGTACCGGCTCCTCTCCTGGACTGAAATGGCTTCCTCTGATATCACTGCACACTGTGAGCTTCTCACAATGTGCATTAGAAGCTGCAGCAAGTCATATACAGCCGGGCCTCATTTCCTGGCTGGAGGACCCACTCT